TTCAAGTGGTGYRCGGTTTCCCGCTCTCCACATTGATCCGAGMATCCCAACTACGCGGCCAATCACTTCGYGGAGTAAGGATCGAGCTGGGCGGAGGGGAAGACGAARAGTCCTGCAWGGGGGAAACRCGCGCAGCAAGAAGGGAAGATGRYGCGGGGATGCAAAGCAAGAAACGGGGGTGCGAGACRCGCGAAGAAGTCGGWGMTTAGGCRYGCGCGYGCAAAAATTCAAAAAGTCCCCACCGAARCCGTTTSTTGGTTTTCATACCGCGGCCGCTATTCGCCCGCGCGGGAGTTATTAACCAAAAAAAAATGAAAAAGCCGTTTCAAAAAGAAAACAAAAGCAAAAAGAAAGAAAACCCCCTTTTTGTCCGCATCCGTTCCTCGGGGCTTCCCGGGGATTTTTCCTCAGGGATACGGGAAGCCGCGCGGTACGGGTCTGAGCTTATCACAAGTGATCAACGTAGACTGGCGGACAAGAGCGAAGTCAGGCAAGGGGAGCCAACTTCAGCAACGCTGGTTCCAGAGCACCTGGGAAAGGAAAAACCGATTAGTGGAAGTGCACAACAATAGGAGTCTAACTTTTTCCAAGTGGATCTCAGAGTCAGATAACATAGAGAATGGAAGGTTGGTAGGGCAGTAGGCACAACCAGGACACTCGGTCGAGTAAGGACGCAGTAGGCCCGTAAGGGAGCGTCCATAGGACCCGAACGTTGTCCTCTGGGCCGTGCTAGTCCCAGATGTTGATTTTGAGTTAGTAGTAGATTTTAAATTTTAGACTTAGAGCAGGTAGTAAGCCTTAGTTCCCACTGTGGGACGAGAGCCTCTTCTTCAGTAATGATTCGGTTCGGTCCAAACCTCAACATGTGCAAAGCACAACTTCAAAGTCTGTGGAAATTTCATTCATTATGTGTCAGTTGGTTAGCAGGTAGTAGAGCGGTTTTCTGGAAAGATAGGTTGGAACTCTTTAGAGTCGAGTTCCGCAGGCAAGAGCCTGTAAGCTAAGCTGGCTGATGTTGTCAGTACTCCGGGTAGAATTGTGAGGTCCCTGGCCTCAAATTGTTATTATAATGAATTGCTGTTAGGGGAAAAAAAAAAAAACAAGGATGACCCGAAAGAAGCGTACATAGTAGTGCAAAACGGTGATATTGTTTTTGCATCAAACCAATGAAACAGGATTCCTACCGAGCAGCCCGCTAGGGGCGGAGGCACCCTGTCAGAGGCACTCAATGCTGTTTATTTTCGCAATGTGAAAGTGTCATTTCTGGCTTCAAAATCACCCCCCACTCTGAAAACCATAGAAATATCCATCGGCCCAACTCAGTTGGTAAGGCACGCAAGTGGCATTCAGGAGGTCTTGGGTTCAATCCCCATTGCCCTCATGCACCTTCCTGGGCAAGCTTGGCGCCCACCACCTAGAGATATGCCGTTGGTCCCCCCGAGTGGCATTGAGCAGAGACTGCTGATGTTCATAGGGGAAGGGCACCAGAGGGGAGGCACAGTGACTGGCCCATCGAAGAAGCTTGGTCCTGATGCTACCGGCTGACCCCTGGCCGTTATCGCCTACCTGCTGTAGCAGGTATCGCACCTGTTGGTGGGTGCAGCTCCGGCAGGCTCCCTCGTTGGAGGCTTGAGCACGGTTGTGGCTGCTATTCCCCGTAATACTACAATGACAATAAAAAAGGCCTGAAAGGCCTTTCTGTCCAGATTCGACAGGTAATTCAGTTGGTTGGCCTTAAAAAGGCCTGAAAGGCCTTCCTGTCCAGATTCGACAGGTAATTCAGTTGGTTGGGCTTAAACCACCAGTACCTCCGAGCCTGTTTTTGCCGACCCTGAATTTCACTGCGCTCCGAGTTTTGCCGAGCCTAGGTACCACTCCATTTTCTTTCTGGTACTCTCATGGAAAGAACAAAAAAAATCAAAAAAGAAGAAGAAAAGTTGCAGTCGTGAACCTCAGAAAAGAAGGAAACAAAGTTTTGGCTGTGATTGCAGTTGTATACATTCTTGGAAGTGGTAATGTGAGTGTGCCCTCAATGAGGGCATCTCAGCCCCGTGGCCAGGTTGTCAGATTCCAAAAAGAGAATAAAAGGGGGAAAAGCGGGCACATGGATCCGACCGAAAATGGCCGGATACATTCCCCTAAGTGCCAGTGTGACGAGCCTTACAATTTTTGACAAAACACAGCTTGAGCAGATCACGGACAACTTGAGCAATTCACGGACAGGGGACTCATAAGAAACACACGACCGGGGACTCATAAGAAACACACGACCAACAAAAAAAAGAAAACAGTAACATTCAGAATGTGACCGCCTTACCTGTAAGGTGCACTCTGTGGAGGAAGATTGTGAGCACGGCCTCCTGGACTACCCAGCCCGACATCATTGCAGTAGAGAAAGCATTTTTTTTTTTCCCTTTTTCTGTTCACTAGTGAGAATATGAAATTCAGATTTATGGGACATTGCCAACCCTGCTGGGATTCCGGTTTCTTAGGGGACAGACCAGTAGATCGTATTTTCCCAACACTTAGCCTTTATTAAAAAAAAAAAAAAAAAAAAAAAAAAAAAAAAAACCATAGAAATGCAACTTCGTGCCCACTTCAATGCAGCAACGTAAAAGCAAAAAAAACAAATACAAATCCTATCATTGGCTGCAGCGTCGGCTGACATCTGCCACTTGTCACTTGAAGCCACACATGCTTGAAATTGTAAAACTTGGCTACCTTCTTCCCCCAAATACAACGGAGGGTCATTATAGCTGTATTTGAGGCATCTTTCAGTCTAGATACAGCTATCATTACCGTACGTTGTATTCGGGGGAAGAGGGTAGTGGGTCCTGGCCCCTGGCCTCGTCGCATTGAAGCTATGTAATGGACAATGCCTTTTTCAAAAAAAAAAAAGAACCAAGGGTGGCCTTACATAGCCCAGGTCTGCAGAGGGATCATCATGAGTGTTATTTGGACAGCCCGCAACCAGAAGCTTTTCAGAGGCGAGGATTTAGGATTTGATCAGTTGAAGAACCTAATCAGGTCAAGGATTAGATGAACCATCATTGCGGATAAGCAGCGGAAGGGCTGGCTGTGGTTCCACAAGACATGGGCTCTTAACGACAGACTGGCCAAAGTTTCCCCTGAAGGAAAACTCTCAGTGTGTAGATGGTTGGAGAAGTAACTTCATGGATTGGTAGGGGGGATAGCTCTCAAGTAAGTTGCGGTAGCTTTTGGCCCTCGACTAGGTAGTGGTAGGATCTGCATGGAGTTGGAAGGATTCTCAGTGTTTCTGTGGGAGCCTCATCCCACCATACTCACGGTAAGTAAAAAATGCATTTTTTTGGTATCCCACCAGTTTCCTTGAACCCCGGGGCCTCCGCGGTGAACGGAGGCATGTGAAAACGGTTCACGACGTGGCGGTCGTGGAGGGAACTTCGGGAGCTCCGTTTTCCGTTTTCATAAAATGGACGGGCCCTTACCCTTACGCGAACTTATCGTAAGTTGTTTTAATTTTTTTTTTAATATTCTTTTGTCCGTTGCCGGGCCTGGTTCGTCCGTGGCCAGAACGGCCAACAAAGGCCGCCGCCACTCACGTAAAATTCCCTTCAATGTCGGGACAGTGGAGTGCCATTTTACTTACCGAATGCGAAACCCGCGGACCGGGCTTTTACGTCTCTCTCGGACTTTTACTTAGGGTGAGTATGGTGGGATGAGGCCCTTAGACTCTTCTGAAGAGAAGCCGGGGAATGCTCCCGGATATGATTGTTGGTAGGATTCAGGCTAGAGGGACATCTTGCTGTCAGTGGTCGGATGTGGTTTCAAGATGTTCCCCCTTCAGGAATAGCATGGACAATGGTAGGAGCCTGGGATACTGGTTTCTAGTTGGCCTTTCAGGGGCCCGATTCGCCTTTTCCGGGGACCAAGTCCCACTTGCAGCGGTTTAGTTCCCGTAGCCAGTACTGCACGACACTGTGTGACTTCGTGTGGCAATGTGCGGCTGGTTCACAAATGGCGGGTTAAATCGCAAAAAATAACAGGATTTGAACGTGCTGAATGACAGTAATGATGAAAGGCCGGTCAGTCTGGTAACCAAGGGTATGGCAGCGGCATTGTCAGGAAAAACTTCTAGTTTCTGTGGAAATACAAGACGATGGACGGTCCCCACGTCTAGCCCGACTGGGGTCAGGCTATGGACGAGGACCATTCCCTGCGAGTGAAAGAGCTCATTCC